TATTGTTAGAAACAAGTGTACTTAGAGATTTTGATGATACCAAACACACTAGGAATTTCGACCCCTCTTTTTTTCTCATTATTTTTTATGTCTTTCGTGGTAGACAAAAGTTGTCTCTGTTCATTTAAATGATTCTTGCTTAGCAGAATGTATACTCGAATCAGAGCACTTCGCAGACTAAAGAAGAAGAGAAGATCAAGAGAAGACCGAGAGATCAGCTAAGACCAAAATCTGGAAGGGTCTATTTCTCGTGTAATTATCAAATGATAAAGAAAGATCATTTGACCTAGAAAGAAAACGAAAGATAAAGACAATCTTTCGTTAGTAAACTCGAGACTATGAGTCAAAATCTGACTTGATCAGACAACTTCTACATGATTGCTCAGAAGTATATTTGTTCAAGTCTTAGTGCTGGGTAAATCATCCTAGACACATGGTGTCCTAGGAATGATATTTCAAATATCAAGGAGCATTAAATAATTGGTACTTCTGTCAGTACAAAAGGACAAAATGGTAGGTCACCTAGGAATTTAGACTTGTTGGCCGGTTGCTCTACCTCATCGCAACAAGACCAGACATAGCATTCGCTGTTCAGCAGCTCAGCTAGTACGTAGATGCTCCAACGACTAAGCACTTGATAGCTGCACACCGCGTTCTTCGCTACATTAAAAAACATCCTGGCCAGGGATTGTTCTATCCTAAGCTAAATGACATGCATCTCACTGTATTTTAGAATTCTAACTTGGGTTCTTGCTCAAACACTCGCCGTTCTATAAATGGATTCTGTGTGTTCCTTGGATCAGCTCTAATATCTTGGAGATCGAATAAACAAGTCACTGTTTCTCGTTCATCATCCGAGGCAGAGTACCGTGCACTAGCAGCCACTGTTTGTGAAGTCCAATGGATTACAACGCTGCTGCATGATCTATAGATAAGGTTAGACAAACCAGCTGCTCTATTTTGCAACAACAAGTCGGCAATTTCTATCGGAGAGAACCATGTTTTTCACGAACGCACTAAACACCTCGACATAGATTGTCACATTGTGCGTGAGAAGCTTAATCAAGGGATCATTGAGCTCTTATCCGTATCCTCCTCAACTCAAGTTGCAGACAGGTTCACTAAAGCCCTTCCCATCTCGTCCTTTCAAATATTCACATCTAAACTGGGTATTCAGGATCTTCACACTCCAGTTTACGGGGGGTATTGGGAGAAAGTAACAATGCTGCTGCATGTGCCGAAGGGCTCTTGTGTAATTTCATTATGTCGAGTTAGTTAGGAGCGGTTACGGGCATAACAGTGTATATAAACAAGCTTTCTCTGTAATCAAGAGGTTAACACCTCCTGTTCCTGATTTGAATAAACATCCTTCCCTCTTTCTTCATCTCTGATCTTCTGATGCTACCTTAGCCAACAACAAGAGAGAAAAGATTAGGCTGAGAATTCCTTGGAGGCGTTCGCTCATCATTCGCATCTTTAGAAGATTGATATGAATGATATTTCAAATATCAAGGAGCATTAAATAATTGGTACTTCTATCAGTACAAAAGGACAAAAAGGTAGGTCACCTAGGAATTTAGACTTGTTGGCCGGTTGCTCTACCTCATCGCAACAAGACCAGACATAGCATTCGCTGTTCAGCAGCTCAGCCAGTACGTAGATGCTCCAAGGACTGAGCACTTGATAGCTGCACACCGCGTTCTTCGCTACATTAAAAAACCTCTTGGCCAGGGCTTGTTCTATCCTAAGCTAAATGACATGCATCTCACTGTATTTTCGGATTCTGACTTGGGTTCTTGCTCAAACACTCGCCGGTCTATAATTGGATTCTGTGTGTTCCTTGGATCAGCTCTAATATCTTGGAGATCGAAGAAACAAGTCACTGTTTCTCGTTCATCATCCGAGGCAGAGTAATGTGCACTAGCAGCCACTGTTTGTGAAGTCCAATGGATTACAACGATGTTGCATGATCTACAGATAAGGTTAGACAAACCAGCTGCTCTATTTTGCAACAACAAGTCGGCAATTTCTATCGGAGAGAACCATGTTTTTCACGAACGCACTAAACACCTCGACATAGATTGTCACATTGTGCGTGAGAAGCTTAATCAAGGGATCATTAAGCTCTTATCCGTATCCTCCTCAGCTCAAGTTGCAGACGGGTTCACTAAAGCCCTTCCCATCTCGTCCTTTCAAATATTCACATCTAAACTGGGTATTCAGGATCTTCACACTCCAGTTTACGGGGGGTATTGGGAGAAAGTAACAATGTTGCTGCATGTGCCGAAGGGCTCTTGTGTAATTTCATTATGTCAAGTTAGTTAGGAGCGGTTACGGGCATAACAGTGTATATAAACAAGCTTTCTCTGTAATCAAGAGGTTAACACCTCCAGTTCCTAATTTGAATAAACATCCTTCCCTCTTTCTTCAGCTCTGATCTTCTGATGCTACCTTAGCCAACAACAAGAGAGAAAAGATTAGGTTGAGAACTCCTTGGAGGCGTTCGCTCATCATTCGTATCTTGAGAAGATCAGTAGGTTATAATTTCCTCCTCCGGCTTCTGCATGCTTTATGGAAACCTGAATGCCATATGGAACTAATAGACTTGGAGCATGACCACTTTCTTGCCAAATTTGAGTCACAAAGAGACTATGATGTTGCAAGATCTTATGGCCCATGGATGGTACTCGACCATTATTTGTTGTTCAGCAATGTGTGCCAGATAACCAGGCATGGTATCTGTCATTTGTTTATGGCAGCCCAAATATGGATCTAAGTCGAGAGTTATTTCTCCAATAAACAAGGAGTGGATAAAAGACGTGAATGGGCCTACCTCACATTTAATTTGATGAATCTTGGCAATTTATATCCTGCACCACGGCGTGCATTGCATTGTGCACCCAGATGCAAAACGATGTCGTTTCATTTTTTTTTTTTTTGAAATTTCCCGCCCAGTGTTTGGCAGTTAATTTTTCTTTAAAAAAAAAATCCATGTTCAAAAATGTACATAATGTTATACTAGAATATACATAATTGTATACATGAATGTACATAATTATATAACAAAATATACATACTCTTTTTTAGAAGATAATACACATAATCTAACATAATACATAATAAACATAAACTTTTAACATAATACACATCAACTCTTAACATAATACACAAAAATTTCCTGATTCGGATGTACATAATTGTATAAAAAGAATGTATAGAATTGTATAAAAAATGTACATAATTGTATGAACAAATATACATAATTGTATGAACAAATATACATAATCACAGCAACTTCCTACCACGCCTCCCAAAACGACGTCGTTTTGAGAGGCGCGCGGTGCACAGTGCTACGCGCGCCGTGGTGTAGGGTATAACGATTGATGAATCTTGCAATGAATTAACTTTGCTGTGATTACCTTGACAACCCATGGCTTCACCTTATTGTAATCAATCTGCAGTCATATATGCACCAGATTAAATGAACAGCCAACCTCATCTCAAAAAGAAAATAAAAACTACTACGTAATTATGAAGACTAAATGAACAGCCAGATTGGTCATGCCCACTGAATCCAATCATCCAATGTAAAGAAATTTCTAATTTTTTAGTACGGTAAGAAACTTGAAACACACTTTTGTGTACCTGGAAATTTTAAGGGAGTTAAAATAGTAACAAACAATATAATATTGATATAGTAACCATCCAAACAGAATTAAATTACTACTTCACCTTTTCAGCAATCAAGAAAGCAGAATAAAATCCAACACCAAATTGACCAATCACTCCATTATCTGATGCAAGGTCCTTAATTATTTTCCTGCATATAGGGGGTGTTGTGCTTTAGTAATGCTACAAAAGATATCTTAAAAAATAACCATAAAAGTTAGTCTAATATTTCAACAACCATAAACTTATTTGATAAGCAGAAGTGTAGAAGTAGCTTAAGAGCATTCAAAAACGTTTTGGTACCACTCTGTGCAATGGTTCCAAGACAGTCTATGAGATCTTCAATTCTCTTGTTATTCCTATACCAGTATCTCATCAACCATCACCTCATAGACAGTCTTGGAACCATGGCACAGAGTGACATCATGTGACATTATCATATAGAGACATCACTTGTCTTGGCTCACTTGAACGCGATCCTTCTGATCCTTCTTCTTGATTATCCAATGATGCTCTCGATCATCTCAAAAAGGACTCCTTAATTAGTGCTGCAAATTATCCAAAAATCTCCATTTTCTTCACTTCCCTTGCCATTGAAGATAAAAACACCTAAAACAAGAGAAATAATTCTAATAAACCTTATGCAATGCAATAAATGGTGCAAACTAAGCACAAACTTGGTTAAAGAATGGGGTAAAATGTGTACAAAAATACACATATCATTTTGCATCATGAAAATAGTACAAATTGACACTTATCAAATACCAGAGGAGCCCCACGCGCAACCCTCACCCCATCAACTGTCCACACATATTATGAACAAATACGGTGACAATGAGTCCCATCGTAGGAGTAACCTGCCCGGCCACAACACCATTTACTAGCATTATATTTCATCGTTGAGATACATACCGTAATCAACCTTACCCAATCCTCCTCAAACCTGAGCTTTCAAAGCGTGCAATCCAAGAAGCTCCACCCGCCTGCCCTGTGCGCACCCTACTCTCACCTTAAATAACCAGTGGGCCCGAAAAAAAAAAATTTAAAAGAAAAGAAAGAGAAAACTTACTCATGAAAGTATAAAGGGTATTGTATATGTGTACAGTCCATCAATACTCTTGTATCGTTCTATTGTGAATACACTTACAGTTTGATGCGTTCGTAAATCCTCTGGGCATCATACCATTTGAATATGGTTTAGAAATTAATTGCTGAAAAGTGAAATTGATATAAATTTGGATTTAAATGATAAAAAATAAGGATTCAAAAATAAATCTTAATTTACTATTTTTTTTTTTTTTGAAAAGCAAAGGTAGATATAGAAATTTGACCTAGAAATATCAACAACAAATGTGTCATTTCCATACTCTTGCTGCTCGTTTTGAATACGCTTAGCAGATGATATAAGTGACTCTAAACAACGACCATATAATTGGATTGATTTGAGAGTAGTTATTTCTGCAAAACCACTAGGAATTTCTTTCAAAACTACGTGACCAAGGACTAGATTTTCAAGGACGGGAAAATGATTACTAGTGGCTTCCCAATATCGTAGAGGACTCCAATCTATCCCCAAGAACTTTAATCGACGAAATCCTCCATCTTTGGGTTTCCATGTTTGATCATTAACAGCATCGTCCAATTTGAGGTCCTCAAGCTTAGACAACTCACCAACAACATCCATATCCTTCCATTTTAAATGTGTTCCACAGAATCTTAACTTCTTAAGATTTGACAAAAAATTATCTAGGCTTAGCATCCCCATAGAATAAATAGTTCTAAACTCCGGAAGTACGACAAAATGAACCACTAGTGTTTCCACTTTATATAAATAGACAAGACTTTCAAACCAATTGGGAGCTTTGCATTTAATTTTATGATTTGTAGTAACTTCCAATGTCCTTAGATTTGGGGTCCTCAGGAACAACTCCTTTGTACAACTCCTATAATCCAACCATCTAATGCTCGCCAAATTATGATGAACTGATCTTGGAGGAACTAGTGTAATAGCACTATAAACATAGAGATTCCTTAATTGAGGTAATCCCCAAATATCAAGGGGTTCACATGGTGAATAATAATCAACTTGTAGCTCCTGTAGATTTCGGAACATGAACAAAGGCAAATACTGAATATTTAACCCACAAGGAATAGATAAGTATCTTAGATGCACTAGACCCACAATCTCCAAAAAAATATTATGGACATTTATCTCCTTAGATACTTTCAATGCCCTTAAAAACTTAAAATGTGCATACACCCCCACCTGTCTTGAAGTCCTGCCAAAAGAAATTCTATCAATCAGTGAAGAAATACTGTTGTAACTGCAAATTCTTGATTGGATGCTCCATGGTTGGGATATATGGGAAGAGTTTATTGATTGATTTCTCTTCCACCTCAAACTAATTATATCATAACCCTTCTTGAAACTAAGAGTTTCTTTTTGGGCTTCTCTCAAAGCCAATTCACGCAAAACATCATGCATTTGATATAATCCATCATTTCTATCTACACAAATTAGAAGATTTCTATCCACAAGATCATGAAAGTTCATCCTTGCCACACCTTCCAAGCTCTCATCAGACCTCAAAACCTTTAGAAATCCCTCCGAAACCCAAAAATCAACTATCCTCTGTTCAAAAAACTCATAATCTTCTGGAAAACACCCAAATGACAAAAAACAAAGTTTAAGGTGATGAGGCAAGAAGGTGTAACTCAAATCAATGATGTTCTCACCCTGCTGATTAGAATGATGTAAACTCAAAGCAGGGACACATTTTGCAATATGCTCCCATTCATGAATAGTTTGGTTGGAGTTTGAGAGGAGTCCAGCAACCACAATAATTGCAAGAGGTAATCCTTTGCACTTGCCTACTATCTCTTTACCAATTTTTTCAAGTTCAGGGGACAATAGAGTTATTGATCTCTTACACACTTTGCTCTGAAAAAGATTCCAACTTTCATTTGAATCCAAAAAACGTAAGGTATGGCAAAAATTATTACCTGAATCAGCATACTCAGCCACATTTTTTTGCCGAGTGGTCAACAATATTCGACTTCCATTATTGTCATCCTTAAAACATCTCATTAAATCATCCCAGACATCTGTATTCCAAATATCATCTACTACGATCAAATATCTTCGATGTTTTAGATGCCTGTATACTTGCTCAGCCAATTCGTAGTTGCTAGCTCTATTGTTGTCACTGGCCCCTGGGGCAAGAGAACGAAGCAGGCATTGGAACACTTGTGTTGGATTATAGTCCTGTGAGATAGTAACCCAAGCTCGACAATCAAACCAAGAAATGAATGAAGCATCTTCATAAATCTTTCTAGCTAAGGTGGTTTTACCAATACCACCCATTCCCACAATCGAGACAATTACTCGTTTTGAGGATTGCTGGCTCAGGTTGTCCATTATGGTGTTGAACTCATCATCGCAGCCCACCAATTTGATTGCAGACTTTGAATCACCAACCATAATGTTATCGAGTTCCAGCCCTCTAAGAGAAGCAGGATTGTTGTTTTGTGAGTTGTTGGATTGGTGGTATGCATTATTCTTAACATTCAACATCTCTTTCTTGATGTAAGATGTGAGGCTAATTCCTTGGATGAAGAGTTGACGAATCCTTTGTGTAGCCTGTATCCGTTGTTTCATGTATTTGTTGAGATAAGAAGCTCTCAGTTCTTGTATGATTACACTTTCTGCTTCATACAACATATTCCTCCTTCTCTTTGCCTCTTGCTCATCATCATTATCATCATCAGCACCATCATCAATCTGTTGTTCATTCTTGCTCTCTTGTTCATCATCATCATCACTATCTTTCTCATCATCCTTACTCTCTTTTCCATATAGAAAGAGTTGATGCTGCGTGCAAAAGGATTTGACCCTTTTGTTTATATGAGGCGGCATGCCTGATACTGGCAGTGTAAAGTGCTTCCCTAGGATCTCCATCACATAATTGAAATCCATAGTTTCTAAGTCGCCTTTAATTGCTCGATTCAATATGGGGAGAAGCTTTTGAGCAGAGTGAAGCCTAAGCTTCATGGATTTCCCCAGGTAAAACAATCTCAATTGGTCTTCTATTTGGAACCTTAGTTCAATGGAGACATCTCTCACTTGTGCTTCCAAAGCTTTGATTGCTTCATCACAGCCCCTCACTTTGAAATCTTGTTGAAGAGAGGTTTGCAAAGAAGAAAGATTTTTGTAAAGTAATCTGAGCTTTGTTTTGTTGCGAAGAGGGAAAATGGGTGTGTGATGTTGGAGGAAATGTTGATGGAGTGTGTCCATTAAAATGGTTACAGCACCAAAAGCCGCCATAGCCAGTGATGTTGCGAAGAGGTAATTAAGATGGATTTTGCAAAGAGGAGAGAAAGTTGAAATTGTGGAGATGAGAAGAAATGAGGGAACAATTTTTGCAACGAGTATAGGTTAAACACAATTTTTTTTTTTTTTTTTGGAAATATAGAATTATTTTAGTGACCTTCATGAATTATTGCATCTGAGTTGGAAGCAACTTATCAAATAACAGTCTTAAAAGTTTGGGGCTGGCAATGGAGCACCATGGTCATCTCTTTTTAGCATGCTAGAAATGATTAGCTTTGGTATCTCATGTCTTCTTAGTTTTGTTTCTTTGCTGTGTATGCTTGTTTGTGCTTTGTTTGGGGCTGGAGGCTTGGTGTGGTCCTTGTACAGCACTCACACTGATTTGGAAAAAAGGAAATGATGGAATAGTGGGGAAAAGAAAAAGAAAAACAGAATGATGAAAACAGAAAGGAAAAAGAGAACAGGAGAAAGGAGAATAATTGAGAGAACTAGGCCACTATTTATATGAACAATTACAGGTATTTTTCATTTGCTTTCTGTTTTACATTGTTTTTGTCACCTATTCCTTTTTCCCTATAAAACTGTATTTAATATTCTTTTTTTGTAACATGACCCCCAAAATCTGGTAGCAACAATAAATTTCAACGAATCTAAAACTGAGCTACTTTCAAATCCCATTTGTGGATCTCTCCCAACTCTCGTGGCTCTATTAAAAAAGGCTCAAACCTGAGAACCTACATAGGGAACAAACCTCCTTTCACCTGAAGCAAACATTGTTGATACATTGTTTGTATATAAGTATAGTGTTCTAATAGTTTGTTGCTGGTTAGTATTACGTTGATATGTAGTGTATGAATTCCGTATAGGATTTTAAAAAAATTGAAAAATTTAAATATAATAATGATTTTTTTTTTAATTTATAAAAAACAATTCGCTACCCTTCTTAAAAAAAAAGGGTAGCGGATTGTTTTAAAAAATATAATAAATTAATGGTATTCGCTACCCTAGTATCAGGGTTTTCAGCGACCCTAGTATCCGCTACCATTGTACAAGGGTAGCGGATGTGTAAATCTGTACTAGTGTGAAACTGCAGTGTATACAAAATGAAACTGAATAACATTTCACATATTTGAGTGTACTTGTGCAATGAAACAATAGTTATATCGAATAGTTGTGTTGTAATGAAACTATATTGTATATAAAATTAAATTGAATAACAATTTCACATATTTGAGTGTATAATGTTGAAAGAAACTGTAGTTATATTGAAATAAAATTGTAGTTGTATTGAAATGAAACTGCACTGTATACAAAATGAAACTGAATATTTTATACAATCACAGTCACTTTTTGCGGACGGCGCGAAACATGTGTGCCGTTTCATTTTATTAAATGAAACGACGTCGTTTTGATGCCTAGACCATAATACATTATAGACCACGGTATAATTTGCCAAAATTTTCACTTTGGTCTTTTTCTTTCTTTTCCTGTGAAACAACACTGGAGCCATTCCCTTTTTTTCTTTCTCTACCACCAACTCCACTTTCTTTCTTTTATTTCTTTTCTTTCGTTGTCTTTTTCTTTTTGCTTTTACTTTATTCTTTCCTAATTATTTCTCCTTTTGCCACCAACTTCTTTCCATTTCCCATCTCGTGTTTATTTTCAGTCTTTACACGGTCTTTAATTTTTAATTACTTTTTTGTAGGTATAATCGTTGGTGAGGAGATTTGATTAACTACAAAGGTATAAACCATTTATTAGCAGGTGCATCTTGCAAGGAGACCTTGAAATTGGAAATCCTATAGAAGTTAACGTTAGGTCAGGACTTTAGGGAACTACAAGCTATGAGAGATTAGAGCTCCTAGATGAGAGAGGTGAAGGCCAAGATGAGTGAGTCAGAGAACTCAGTGGACACACCGGAAGGGACTATGTGACCGTCGGACTTCTTCTAATCGGACAAGCCACAAAAGATATTACTGGCGAAAGGGAAAGTTGGAGCGAGATGAGAAAGACGAAGGCCACGATGGTGGTGCAATTTTTTTTTTTTTTTTTAAATTAAAATTAATAAAGTCACATCAGATATTACCGGCTCCATGTCAACAGATTTATCGCGCAACCTGTAAAAAATGCTAGGTGACAAAATTTTTTTGGTTTATGGATTGAATAAGTACTTATGAAAGATCATGGTGCGGCATGAAGAATCGCTTATGGTTCATGGTGCGGCATGAAGAATCGCTTATGGTTCATGGTGTGGAATGACAATTTAACCTATAAATTTTACATACTAATATATTACACTTAACAATATGAAAAGTTGAATTAAAAATAATTTCAATCAAGCATCATTATCCGAATCAGACATATAAAATTAGACAAAGAGAGTAATAATTATTATTTTTTTTTTTTTGAAAATGAGAGTAATAATTATTTACTTTCTATTATATTTCAAAATATTAGTATTAAAAACGTTATGATTATCCTATTAATTAATAAAAAGTTAATCATATCCTGTAAATGATAGTGCTTAGGCACAATCAATCAATTATAGACAAAAACAAGCTTTACTTTTGCTTTTCTCTTTTTGCTTTATTTTCTTAAAAGTTAAGTTGCAGTTTTCTTCATTTGCAATAATTGGATTTTCATTTTCCATAGACTTAATCAACGATTTGGTCCCCCAATTATTAGCGAACTGTCAATGTGGTCCCTTAATCGCTTATTCATCGATTTAGTCCCTGAAAATAATTGTTTTTAGTTGATTTAGTCCCTCCCGCCGTAGTCCGTCAACAAGCCGGCGATATCTCTGATTTACCATGGGCAATTTGGTCTTTTCACTTCATCTCACCCCACCTCACTATTTCACGCCATCTTCTTCATCCTCTCTAACCAAGCTTCGCTAGAAAATGTACGTCGTCATCTGCCGCTTCTGACCGCCAGAACAAGTCGTCGGAGTTCGCTCTGTTGGGAAGAAAACTCACAAGAATATATAATTAGCACAATGAAAATAAATAAAAAAGCACCAAGAAGAACACCAAGAATTTTAACGTGGAAAAACCTCCTCAAGGCAAGGAGTAAAAAACCACGGGCACAAGCCAGTAAATCCTCCACTATATATATAATGGGTACAATATAGGAGAGTTCTCTAATTCAACAATTAGAGGCAACACAATACAAGAGAAAATAATATACCCCGAGGCACAAGAATTTCTACGAAATCCACCAACTTCTTCTCGGCTAATTTTCTGACACTTATATATCTCACACAAATTTTCTCTCCTCTCTTTTTCTTCTTCTTGAACTCTCTCATTGTCCAAGGTAGCCAAATCCATAGCCTTTATATAGGCTTTACAAAGCAACTATTTGGCTTTTCATTTGCCCTCTTCAATCTTCCATTAAGTGGCCATCAATGGAGACATTAATCAAATTTATTTGTTAAACCATTCACTTCCTCTTCCAAGCTTAATTGTTAAGCTTTTGGTCTCCACCCTACCCACATTGGTGGGACCTTATAGTAACAAACTCCCCCTCACGCCAATGTGGGAGGGACTTGCATCCCTGCAGCTGAACGACAGATCTCAAGCTTTTCCCTGGGTAATGACTTTGTTAACATGTCAGACCCATTTTCATCTGTATGGATCTTTACAAGTTGTAAGTGGTTCATCTCCAAAACATCTCTTATCTAGTGATATCTTACATCGATATGTTTCGATCTTGAATGGAAAGAGGAATTCTTACCAAGGTGTATAGCACTCTGACTATCACAAAACAACTCATATTTGTCTTGTTTGACCCCGAGTTCTTGAAGAAATTTCTTCATTCATAGCAACTCTTTACAAGCTTCAGTTGCTGCAATAAACTCAGCCTCTGTGGTAGAAAGTGCAACACACTTTTGTAACTTAGACTGCCATGATACTGCTCCCTTTGCAAATGTTATCAGATACCCCGAAGTCGACTTTCTAGAGTCAATGTCACCTGCCATGTCTGCATCAGTGTATCCAACCAACACAGATTTATTAGAACCAAAACATAGGCATAATTTAGAAGTACCTCTAAGATATCTGAAAATCCATTTAACAGCCATCCAATGCTCCTTGCCAGGATTAGAAAGGAACCTACTCACAACGCCAACTGCATGAGCAATATCTGGCCTTGTACATACCATAGCATACATCAAACTGCCAACTGCATAATTGTAAGGGACTTGTTGCATACTTGCCTTTTCTTCCTTTGTAGAAGGACGTTGCTTACTACTTAATTTAAAATAATTAGCAAGAGGAGAACTAACCACTTTAGCATTTTCCATGTTAAACCTAGAAAGTATTTTCTCAATGTACTTCTCTTGAGACAACCACAACTTTCTGGAATTCCTGTCTTGTGTAATTCTTATCCCGAGAATTTGCTTTGCTGGCCCCAAGTCTTTCATAGCAAAAGACTTTCCCAACTGTTCCTTTAGTTGATTAATTCTGGAAGCACACTTGTCGAAGATGGACATATCATCGACGTACAACGAAAGCATAACTCACTCAATGGTCAGAAGTAGTCTTCATGTAACCTTGTTGCGCCATAACTCACTCAAACTTCTTGTACCACTGCCTTGGTGCCTGTTTTAAGCCATATAGGCTCTTTTTTAGCTTACAGACATAGTCCTCTTTTCCCTTGACTTCAAAACCCTCTGGCTGCTCCATGTATATTTCTTCATCCAAATCACCATGAAGAAAAGCAGTCTTTACATCCATTTGCTCAATTTCTAAATCTAGGCTGGCTGATAGTCAAAGAACAACACGAATGGAAGACATCTTAACCATTGGAGAAAATATCTCATCAAAGTCAATACCTTTTCTCTGGTTGAATCCTTTGACAACCAGTCTAGCTTTGTACCGTGGCCATGAAGAGTGTTCTTCCTGCTTTACTATGTACACCCACTTGTTTGCCAAAGCTCTCATACCCTTAGGTAGCTTTACCAACTCAAAGCTATTGTTCTCATATAAGGATTTCATCTCAGCTTGCATGGCTTCAATCCACTTTTCCATGTGTTCATCTTCCACAGCTTCTGCATAACATTATGGTTCACCATTATCAACAAAATTAATTTCATAAATATCAGAAGAGTACCTTGTGGAAGGCTGCCTAACTCTTGAACTTCTTCAAAGCTGAGGTGGAGTTGAAGCTTCTGGAACTGGGAGTTCATCATCATT